TAATAATAATAGTATAAAATTAATGTAATATATTTATTATCATATAAGTGAAAATAAAGAATATGTGTTCAAAATCTTACTAGGTAGAATTTTTTTTATCAGGCATTCTGGTAGATCATCGACAAAGGATGTGTTGCTAAAAATGCTATTGGTACTATTCGAATAAGCATCAACAACAAGGGTTATGTTGTTGAAAATAAGGTGCTTTACTATTCAACATGCTACCAACATCATAGTGCTTATTGCTAAAAATGGAAAAATCAGCAACAAGGGTTTTGTTGCTAAAAATAGGTTGTATTATTCAAAAGTAATTAGCAACAAGGCAGATGTTGTTGAAAAGTGTGTGACCAAACTCCCTCCTAATTTTTAGCAACATAAGTCACGTTATTGAAAATATAGTTTCACTAACATGACTTATGTTGTTGAAAAATGGGCCACAGTTTCGATGCCAAATTTCAATGATTATTTTTATCAACATAAGTCACGTTGGTGAAACTATATAATTAGCAACAAGGCATATGTTGATGAAAATAGTCACAAGAATCCTCCATCAAATTCTTATGAATATTTTTACCAACATAAGTCACGTTGCTGAAACTATGTTTTTAGCAATATGACTTATGTCTTCAGCAATGTGACTTATGTTGCTGAAAAAGCACCATGAATCAGCAACAAAAAGCATGTTGGTAATGTGTCACCCAGCAAAGCATTTCCAACAAAGCATTTAGCAATAACAACTACGTAGCTGAAGGAGTTTCGGTAACATGGGAAGCACTTTCACTAATGTGCTTCCATGTTACTAAAGAGGAGAATTTTAGTAGTATAATAAAACCAAACAAATAGTTTTTAACATTTCAATTAAAGCCAGCCATGAGCCAAACCATAAATAAAAAAATTACTCCATAAATTAATGTAAACTGACTATATATGTACAGACCTTGGGTTTCAATTGGTTTCCCAAAATAAAAATAATATATTCTTAGAAACCTTGGTGCCAGTCATGGTTGGTAAAGTTGTTGGTTTGACACCTTGCCTTCTCCTTCATTCCTATCATTTCACGGTTACAGAAACCTCATCAAACGGACATTGATTGCATTTTGTAGTTTAAGACTCGATCAAAATATATATACCTCAATACCACAACCTCTTCTGTCAAATCTTCTATAAAATCCTTTCTTTTTATCAACAAAATAAATATATTTTATATCTTCTATAAAATCCTTAAAGTAAGGAATTTTTAGTTGATCATTATAATAATAAATTACTTAAGCAAAATCATCTACTCCAACAGCGCCAAATGGTACTATTTTGGCTCCAAATCTAGCAACCATCCTCACAAACTCTCAGACTTTTCTGGCCAAAATAACTTGTATGCTTCACCTTGGCAAAATTAATTAATCAATATGCCTAGCTACCTAGAGTTGAGGTATCACAGCTGCACAATACTATAGCTAAATATTCAATCTGTTACTTTCCTATGAAAAGCCTCATCCACCCCTAGGCGTGGGCATCGGTACAGTACCATACCGTACCATACCGTACCGATTTTAAATTGTACCGATTATATTTGGTTCTTTAGTCTTGTACCGAGTACCGACCCAAATATGTTTAATCGGTACATTATTTGGGAATCGGTACTCGGTATTTATAAAACAGAAACCAAGTATCGACCCAATGTGTACCGGCTACAATTAGTCCTATTAAATGGTACAATATCGACCTGTGTTATTGTGATTATATTTAACTAAATTACTTTTTAAAATTGTTAAAACTAGCAACATAACATTACTAAAATTACTTTAATAAATCTTCTTACATGTAAAAAAGCTGGTATAATAGATAAAAAAAATTATTCTCAACACTTTAATCAACATTGCTACAAACATGATAGCCAAAAATCTATAAACATCCATTGTCCATGAAATAAGTCATTAATTCAACACCTTATGCAAATTTGCAATTGTGGGAAACAAAATCAGTAGTAGCAGTATTTATAGCAACAACTAGCAGCATTTGCAGCAAAAAGTAACTCAAAAAACAAATCCAAAAGCAATATTTATAATAACAGCCAACAGCATTTACAAGCTTGCAGCAACAAGTAACCCAAATAGCAACAGCTAGTAGCATTTGCAGTAATAAAGCAATAAAGCACACAAAATATTTCCAAGCTTCAGAAGTTTTACCCCTTGGTCTCCGTTAAGTGCCTTGAGGTTGAGATTGTTCATTGACCTCAGGAGGTTGATTCTTCTGAGAAACTTTTCCCCTTTTTTTATTTCTATTTGTTGTGCTTTCTTTAGCTCTAGTGATATTCCCCTCACTGCTTTTACCAAGACTATCATCAATATCATCTCCCTCATCATCTTCCGCTTCCTCCTCATCATCTTCCTCTTCCTCCTCTTCTAAGTCTTCTTTATATTCCTCATCATCTTCCTCCGTTTGCTTTCCTTTGGTCTTTTGCATTTTTTCCATCCTTTTCTCATGGCTTTCAAATTCTTCCTCCAAATCATATCTTAGTGGAGGTGCCTAAGCATTAAAAAATATTGCAAGAATTTAAACATTAATTAATAGTACATAAGATAGGGAGGGAACATAAGAAATTTAATGTATATGCAAAGTATATATATACCAAAAAATTAAATTCAGATAGTTGTTCTCCTCTTGGTGCTCCCTCTACTGATTCAGAAGGGTAACTATTCATTTGAATTCTTGAAGTTGACATCATTTATAGCATTCTGTATTTAAAATAGAAGAGACATGTCAATTGTCAAATAAAGAAAATAGAAACTAAACAAAAAAATTCAAAGAAAAAAAGTAAATTAATTGACTAAAAAGAGGGAAATAGAGCAAATATCTATGACAAATAGAGTAAGTAGAAACTAAATAGAAAAATTCAAAGGAAAAAAAGTAAATAAACCAACTAAAAAAGGAAACACAGAGCATATATCAATTGTGTTGACATTAAAAATTTGACAAGTAAAAATACTTCTAAAGTTCTAAATTTGAAAATCTTCAATGTCAAATGAATAAAAATAAAAGCATTGGCATAGTGGTGGGCCATTTGCACA